ATTCGTGATCGAGATTCTTGTTCGATAGCGTGTACAGAATGCCTCCTCTAGGACACTCGAGAGCTACGTCACCGGATATTGCCGGCTTGTCGATAATACGACGACGAATTCATTCGTACGCCGGTTTTCGAAACGAGATATTTCTCTCGAACCTTTCCGCGAACGGCGGATCGAATAAATTCATTCCGCGGATAACAACAACAGAAGTATGCGATTCCCTGACTGGGATTTCTGTATAGAATAAGTCATAAGACGTGAAGAGAGCTTGCCCGGAGGGCGTTTGGCTTCTATCAGACGCGGCCTACAATTAAGAGGTTGGAGCTCTCGTTGTCGATCGATTAACGCGCGTTTCTCCTTTTCCCTTCACTCGCGAGTCACGTCGACCCTGATTTATTTGTCTCGGTCACCACCTTTCTCTCGTCGTAAAAAGAGAGTAGGGAAACCGGCTCGAAAGAAGATAAAACCGCTTCGCGATGGGTTACCCCATCAACAATCGATGCACACGCGAGGATGTAAAAGATTCAAATGATTCCGTTCGACGTACGATGAATATGGATACAAAAGGGGCTTACTTTGTAATGGATCTCGGTAGAAAAATAATATATGTAAAAATAATATACGTGAATGTTTAACGATGCTCTCTGTACGAGAAAAACAGAATACGAGCATTATTTGATTTGTACGTGTTATACGTGCACCGCGGAGGAAGAAGTGTAAAAAGCCCCACGATTTGCTCCCCACGAGTGCTTTGCTGAAAGCACGGTAATCTCGGTAGTTCTTAATAAAAGTCTGAAAGTCGAGTTAGGTTTTTGCCATTTTTTTTTTTCCATTGCGCAAGGTTTTGCGCAAGAGGCAACACCGGGGAACTCCGTGGGCCGCGCTGCTATTTGCATGTTATTACCTTGTTTACATATTTATTCAATAGCTAAGATCCCGGAGGGTCGCAAACACCCCGGTAATCGGGGCTTTCTCCTCGTGTTCGGCCCTTTAATTTTGGATTAAAGCCCAAAGCTGCGCGCAACGTGCCAACGTGAGCGATTAATAAATCACCGGCAGCCGCGTCGGTGTCGCGTACGATCGATCATCATGAGACGATATCGTTCTTTACCGCATTTTCGGGCTGCTTGAAATAATGTATGCAAAAACTTAAATCTCTTACCTGTTTGTGCATCTCCACGTTAAGCCCGTACGACATCTCGTAATACTGCAAAAGTAAATGAAAACAGTCAGATTAGAACGTAATCGCATAAATTACAATGTTAGTATGGAATTAGTATAAGCGTAGTGTTGCACAGCTACATCGTTATGTGCGTTCCGTTAACGAAGCCACGTCGACGTTAAGCGTAAGGTGATGCGTGCGTAAACTAGCAGCGTAACGCCGACTTTCTCATGCAAAAGCGTTGAACTTTGCCGGAAGGTTGCTCACACGAAATCCAATTTTCGTATTTATGTTACGGCTTTGTCATTTTATCCTATCCCGAAGGAGACGTTACCGTGTAAAATTCCCGTTTATTTTCTCTCTCTCTCTCTCTCTCTCTCTCTCTCTCTCTCTCTCTCTCTTTCTCTCTCTAGAAAGCTAAGAGAATTCGATTAAATTTGCACCACGAATGCAATATACCGTGTATACAAGTACATGTTCATCGACCTCATCTTTCATTGGGACAAAGAAAAATTCGTCGCAATACACGACGTGTTATTTTGATACAACGTATATAACGATCCGAGTATATATAAATAATTGAAATTGGCATATAAATATCACATTGAATAAAACGCCAAAGCCGCTCCGCGCTCCGGATTAATCGAATTATCGAGTTTCGCCAAACCAAGATGCTGTTTGAATCCGTAATGACGGATGCTGCGCAGGAAGAGAAACGCGCCCCGCGGTGGAGTCCTTAAGGGCCTGCTTCAACGATCGCGGGGGGGTTGAGATTATATCGATCAAATGAGATTACGAGATTACGAAAAGCGGACCAAATTGAGCCGTAATGCGAGGCCGCAGTCAGTCGGTAAGAGGGATATAAGCGCGCCGAGAAAATGAGAAAAACGAAGAAGACGAAGGATGAGAAAGGAGCGGACCTCTCCTTCACCCCGTAGAGGCGAGAGGGAGAGAAGGCTTTTACGTACGTGCGCGCGTATGCGTGTCCGACGAAAGACCGGTTTCTCGTAACATCGTTTCTACATCGTGTGTACAAGACTCAGCCGGGGCTGGCTTTAACTAATTCGCTTACCAAACCAGCGGTTCTCATTTCGCACGCGAGACGAGATATCTGATCGCAAAGACTCAGCGCGCGACAAAATACCGCGGACATATTTATCGTAAACTGTTGCCGTATGGTAGTCCTTTACAGGCATTTTCCGTCCCCCCCCTCCTCCCCCCCCCCCCCCTC